GACCCATGAACACAATATAGTGTATCTTTCCATTTATTTAGGTCTTTAATTTGTCCAGTGATGTTTCACACATGTCAGGGTACATGTCTTTTAATATTTGTCAGATTTATTCCTACACATTTTATATTTTTTAATTATATTTTTAAAATTTCAATTTTCAGAGTTATTTTTTTCCCAGTTCTATTAAGGTCTAATTGACAAATAAAATCACATATATTTATAGTAATGTTTGGATATATGTATGCATTGTGAACTGATTAAATCAGTTAATTCACATGTCTGTCATCTCACTTCCTTATTTTTGGTGGTGAGACAATTGAAAATTGACTTTCTGAGCAGTTTTACGTACACGGTATGTTATTATTAACTATAGTAGCCATGTTGTACAATAGGTCTTTAGCACTTGTTCCTGCTGTTGAACTGATAATGTGTACACTTTAACCAACATCTCCTCATCCTCCCACCTTTAGCCTCCAATCCCAGGCAACCATCATTCTACTATACTCTGCTTCTATGAATTTGACTTCTTAAGATTCCATATGTAGGTGAGATCATGCAGCGTTTGTCTTTTGTGCCTGGCTTATTTCACTATGCATTATATCCTCCAGGTTCATCCACGTTGTTGCAAACTACAGGAGTTTCTTTTTCTTTTTTTTTTTTAGGTTGGATTATATTCCATTGTACATATATACCATATTTTCTTCATTCATCAGTTGACAGACATTTATGTTAATTCTCTATCACGACTGTTGTGAATAATGCTGCTGTAAACATGGGAATATGGACATCTCTTTGAGAAACTTTTTTTATTTCTTTCTGATATATACCCAGAGTGGAATGTGGGATTGCTAGTTCATGGGGTAATTCTATTTTAATTTGAATTAGTAACATGTAATGTATGAAGAACCTCCATACTGTTTTTCATAATGGCTGCACTAATGAACATTTTCACCAATAGCATACAGGGATTTCATTTTCTCCACATCCTCACCAACACTTATTTTTTTGTTTTTTTGATAATAGCTGTTCTAACTCTTAGTAATTTTATTTTAATTTGAATTAGTAACATGTAATGTGTGAAAACTCTCCATACTGTTTTTCATAATGGCTGCACTAATGAACATTTTCACCAATAGCATACAGGGTTTTCATTTTCTCCACATCCTCACCAACACTTATTTTTTTGTCTTTTTGATAATAGCTATTGTTTTTGATAATAGTTATTCTATTCTTTTTGAAAACAGCTTTTTGTCTTTTTGATAATAGCGATTTCCCTGATGATAAGCCATAATAAGCATATTTTAATATACCTGTTGAACATTTGTATCTCATTTTTTGTCCATTTAAATGTCTATTCAGGTCCTTTGTATCTTTTAAAGATTGAGTTGAGCACTTACTATTGAGTTGTTTGACTTCCTTATGAATTTTGAATATTAGCCCCTTATCAGATATATGGTTTACAAATATTTTCTCCCATTCTGTTGGTTTTCTGTTCACTTAGTTGATTGTTGCCTTTGCTTTGCAGAAGCTGTGTAGTTGATATAATCCTATTTGTCTATTTTACTTACATTGCCTGTGCTTTGGAGGCAAAAAAAAAAAAAATTGCCCAGTGGCTCTCACCTGTAATCCCAGCACTTTGGGAGGCTGAGGTGGATGGATCACAAGGTCAAGAGATTGAGACCATCCTGGCCAACATGGTGAAACCCTGTCTCCTAAACATACAAAAAAATTAGCTGGGCATGGTGGCATGCACCTGTAGTCCCAGCTACTCAGGAGGCTGAGGCAGGAGAATTGCTTGAACCCTGGAGGCGGAGGTTGCAGTGAGCCAAGGTCACACCACTGCACTCCAGCCTGGCGCCTGGTGATGGAGTGAGACTCTGTCTCAACAACAACAACAACAACAACAACAAAATTGCCCAAACCAATATCAAGAAGCCTTTCACCTATGTTTTCTTCTAAAAGTTTTACATCTTAAGTCTTATGTGTTTTTAATTCATTTTGAATTGGATTTTATATATGGCGCGAAATAAGTGTCAAATTTCATTCTTCTGCATATTGATATATTTTCCCAGCGCTATTTATTAAAGAGACTGTCCTTTCCCCATAATATGTTCTTGGAAACTTTGTCAAAGATCAATTAACTATAAATATGTGGATTTATTTTTGGGCTTTCTATTTTGTTCCATTGGTCTCCATGTCTGTTTTTATACCAGTATCATACTGTTTAGTATAGCTTTTCAGTATATTTTGAAATCAGGGATTGCATTGAAGCTGTGGATTGCTTTAGGGCACTTCAGCAATACTAATTCTTCAAATCCATGAACATAGGATATTCTTCCACTTATTTGTGTCTTGTTCAGTTTCTTTCATCAGTGTTTTTTAGTTTTTAGCATATAATCTTTCACCTCCTTGATTAAATTTATCTAAATATTCTATTTTTGATTCTATCGTAAATGGTATTTTCTTGATTTGTTTTTCAGATAATTCATTGTTAGTATATAGAAATGATCATTTTTGTAGACTAAATTTATATTCTGCAACTTTACCAAATTTGTTTATTAGTTCCAACATTTTTTGGTGGGATCTTTATAACCATGTCATCTGCAAATAATAGCAATTTCACTTCTTCCTTTCCAATTTGGATGTGCGTTTATTTCTTTTTCTTGCCTAATTGCTCTGGCTAAGACTTCCAACAATATATTGAATAGACTTTGGGAGAGTAGGCATCTTTGTTCCTGATCTTAGAAGAAAACTCTCAGCTTTTTCTCCAATGAGTATGGTGTCAGCCGTGAGCTTATTGCATATGGCCTTTATTGTGTTGAAGGTATGTTCCTTCTATAATTAACCCGTTGATAATTTTTTGTATATCAATCAGTCATTTAACATTATGGCAAGAAATATATACAGTGTCCCATGGTAAACTGCAGTGTTTCACAATGATAGAAGATAATAAATGTGTAATTCAGTTGTGGCGGAGAGAACAAATCACATTTTTATCACATCTTAGTGCAGAGGACAAACTTGATCTGCAGTAGTACTTCAACACCACATGCTAAGTTGAGTGTTAAAAAAAACGCTTTACACCTATTTTTTTCTTTAAATACATGTATGCCACGTATAGCTGCTTCACAAAAAGGTTAAAGTAATTCAAAAGGGAAAAATGAGGCCATTATTTTTTCATAGATCTCATTGGCAGGTTAACATGGCTCGATATATTTACTGTATATATTTACTTTAAATATGTATTGTTTAAAATTGTGTAATAATTCCCATCTACCCATACATCGACTAGCAATAATATCTAAGATGATTAGTAATCAACACAGAAAGTTGAGATGAGAGAAAACACGAAGGTTTGTTTTTGTTGTTTTGCTTTCCTTTTTTGCTTCTCTTTAAAAATAGGCTTCTAAGGACTGTGAATTACTATCGTTAAAATAATGACGATGGAGATTCCATGTACCGAAAAGCATTTTCAAGAAGAAAAAAATAGCACAAGAACTGAATCAACAAAGGAAAAATGAGAAGCACAAAGAAAACCTAGGACATTTCCCTTTTTGTTTTAAACTGGAAAATCCTAGCTCCTTGAAGTGATATAATGATACTCTGACTCAAGAGAGAAGCTAAATAAGCACAAGTCACAAAGACCAAGTTCAAAACACTTATGAGAATGGAACATTTGTAAGCCTCTCTAACTCTAGAAAACTAGCTAGTGATGATGCACAAGTGACTCTCTCATTCTTCAAGACGGAGGTAAGTGTGTTTACAAAACCCCCTCTGTCATCAACTTGGCATCCTCCTGGCAATTGTCCCTGTCAGTAAGACATTACAGTCACAGGAGGAACTTTCTTTTTTCCTATATTTAAACAATTCTAATGCCTCCAACATATTTAGGATACCTAAGTCCAAACAAGAGCTTAAGCAGAGTTATAAACCTTTAAAATCTTGACAACATTTTTGTGGGCCCTGAAAATAATCAAAAGTGCTAGTTTAGCTGCCTTTAAAAGACCTTTATTTCCCTTTTACCTTCATTATGCAAATTTCCCTTTCATACTCTTCTCACACACTACTAGCCCAGCCTCCCCAAAAAAGGAAAAAGGAAAAAAGAAAAAAATTGAACAAAAGAAAAATTAAAAAGGCAGCAAACAAAAGGAACAAAGACACAGGATAAAGAAAAGAGTTCACAGATTTAAGAAAAAAAAATTCAATTCAGCAAATTCACCAAAAAAATGTGAATGTATCCTAAAGTGATTAAACTCAGAAATGATGTACATTTTTCCAGTTTACACGGTTTGACCAAAACCAGCATGGCTTTATGTGGTAGCAAACCAACTGATTCTTGCTTCTATTTTCATAAGTGATTTTGCCCACATATCAACCCACTTTAACTGTTAAACAGCAAAACTTTCAATGAAAAATCATTCATTTTAACCAGGATCACACCAGAAAACTGAAGGTATATTTTTTTACCTTTTTCTTAAAAAAATCAAAAACAAAAACGAATAAGCCAAAACAGATTAACAGCAAAGAGTTCTAAAAAATTTACATTTCTCTTACAAACTGTCATTCAGAGAACAATAGTTCTTAAGTCTGTTAAATCTTGGCATTAGCAGAGAAACTTGATGAAGAGTCGTACTTGGAATATTGTGAAAAAATTGTTTTTGTCTAATCTCTCCCTATTGTTTTGCCAACAGTAATCTAAATTTGCATGGAACATCCCCATAGTTGCAGTGTAAACAATGTATAGGAAGGAATATATGATAAGATGATGCATCACATATGCATTACATGTAGGACCTTCACAACTTCATGCACTCAGAAACATGCATGAAGAGAGGAGGAGAGGACAGCCCAGGGTCGCCATCCAGGTGCCTTGAGAACAGAGAACGCAGAAGTGGCACTGTTGATATTTAGTTGGTGCGTACTGTTGGTGGCCCCGAGCGATGAAAGTGAACATTCTGCCACTTTGCATCCCGGTGGTGCCACACCCAAGTCTCTTCTGACTACATTGTCTTTGGCAATCCACTGCCATCCATGTACTGTGTGTGCAGTGCTGTGCGGGCAGCATCATCCCTTACCAGATGTACGTGAGGGTTTAGAATAATAGTGTGGATTGGTTTATTGCTTTGGGGTAAAGCATTTTCAAAGTAGAACTGGTGAAAATCCATCCCTTCCACTAACTTACCCAAAGCTTCAGGTTCAAAAGCGGTAAGGCGTGGGTCACAGTCTTTTCTGTAGGCTTCAAAGTCTCCGTTGTTGATAGCTTCGATCAGTTGTTCAGTGACTTTGGTAATCTCTTGCTTTCGTGCTTTCACATCTTCATCCTCAATTGTTGTCTTTGAACTCTCAGTTGACTCCTTTACTCCATTTGGTTTCTTCAACAAACTCTTGGCTGCTGAGAAATTCCTTGTAGCCACCATAGTTGCCAAGATGGGACCCTTTAGTTTTCTTCTAGCGTTAAATTTCTTAAAGCAGCCTATAGACTCCTGTCTGTGCATCATGGAAGCAACAGTAGAATGCTGACAGATCCATGGGTGTTTGAGTGCCTCTGAGGCTGTGATACGTTTGGCAGGGTTGATAGTAAGCATTTTATTGATGAGGTCTTTGGCTTTAGGAATCACCATATTCCATTCCAGTGATGGAAAAGCATAAGCTCCAGCCTTGATCTGCTGATAGAGTCTGTGTTGATAAAAAAATTTGTGCTTGCTCCTGCTTTCACATTGTGTAGAGCCTGTTTCCACTTTCCTTCCTGCCATGAGTAAAAGCTCCCTGAGGTCTCCTCAGAAGCAAATGCTGCCATACTTCTTGTGCCAAAGTTATTGGAGGTGCACTGTTTGAAGACATAGTGGCAAGAAAATACTACAGTGAAGCTGTAGTATTTTCATCCCGGAAGGGTGGACACTCCACCAGTAGAATATAGAGAATGACACCACAGGCCCACATATCCACTGGTTTTCCAGAAGGGTCTTTATGTAAAACTTCTGGAGAAAGATATCCAGATGTGCCAGCAAAACCAAACCACGGCTGCTGGTCACCTTGAACTTCTGTGGCTAAGCCAAAGTCTGCCAATTTCATAGCTGCTCCCTTGGATTTGCTAGCTAAGAGCAAATTCTCAGGCTTCAGGTCCTGATGGACCATGCCAATCTGATGGCAGTGTAGCACAGCCTCCAGGATCTGCTGAATACAATGATTTCAGGTCCCTGTGAACTATGCCATTTACGTGACAATGATTTACACTTTCTAGAATCTGCTGTATACAGTGAGTGCATCAGCTTCACTGTAGTATTTTCTTTCCGCTATGTCTTCAAACAGTTCACCTCCAGTAACTTTGGCACAAGAAGTATGTCAGCATTTGCTTCTGGGGAGACCTCAGGGAGCTTTTATTCATGGCAGGGAGGAAAGTGGAAACAGGCAGTACACATGGTGAAGCAGGAGCAAGAGAGAATTTTTTTTATCATGAAATAATGTTAAACTTTGTCCAGTGATTTTCCTGCATCTATTGAGATGATCGTATGGTTTTTATACTTCAGTCTGTTAATGTAACATACTGTATCACATTTCCTGATTTGTGTATGTTGAACCATTCTTACATCCTAGGAACAAATTCCACTTGATCACGTTGTATGATCCCTTAAGGTGCTGTTGAATTTTGTTTACTAGTATTTTGTGGAGAATTTTTGCTACCTTTTAAAATAAGTGTGGAAGTGTTCGTGCTATCTAATTTTTGCAAGGGTTGGAGAAGGCTTGGCATTAATCTTATATAAATGTTTGGTAAAATTCACTGGTTACATCATCAGGCCTTGAGATTTCCTGTGTTGGGAGTTTTCAATTACTGATTTAATCTCTTTGCTCATTATTGGTATGATTAGATTTTTAATTTCTTACAATTTTAGTAGGTTGTATGTTTCTAAGAATTCGGTTGTTTATTGATGGTATATCGAAATACATTTGACTTTTGTACATTAATTTGTGTCCTGCAACTTTATTAATCTCATTTTTAGTTGTAGCCCTTTTTTTGGGAATTTCACCAGACTTTCTCTGTAGAAGATCATGTCATTGTCATATTATCATGTCATTGTCATCAATATCATATTAATAAAGATATTTTTAACTTTATTTTCAGCTGGATGACATTTGTGTCTTTTGCTTTCCTTATTGCATTTGCAGGAGTATCTAGTACAGCATTGAATTTAAGTGGTCAGAGTAGATATCTTTTCTTATCAAATGGAGAAAAATGTAGCCTTTTGCCATTGAGTGTGATATTATAGACTTCTCATGCATACTCTTGAGCAGGTCAAAGAAGCTGGGGCATTTTGTTTCCCCTTTTTGGATCACTGTCCTTCATTGACTAATATCCAGTGTCTTGCCAACCATTGTTTTATATGTCTGTTCTTTGGTTGTTTTAGGAAGGAGGGTAAATCAGATATTACTTACTATACCTTGCCTGGAAATGGAAGTTCCTAGGTCTGCTCTAAATATATTTTTAAATAAAAATAGAAGACTTTAAACTCTTATATCACTTACATGATTGATTAGTTTATTTTACTATGTAGAGAAAATTTTGTTCCTCATAAAAAACAACATGAAAGCACATATATGGTTGATATTATAATCTTGGACTGAATGATTGATTGGCTCATTCAACAGCTATTTATTATATGTCTACTATGTAACAGTGCCAGGTAGACTTCCAGGCCCTGGAGATTTGTCTCTAGACAAAGAAGGCAGGTTTCTGCTGGAGTGGAGCTTTCATTCTGGTGCAGGAAAGAGTAGATTATTACACAAGTAAACACATAGGTAAGATAATTGCAGATAGTGAAGACCATTTTGAATCTAGCTTTGTTTGAGAGAGAATGACTGGCAAAAGGAAATACTTTAGAATAGTCATCTGAGGAGTCCTCTATGAAGAGCTGACATTTGAGCTGAGATGTAAGTGATGAGAAAGAGCCAGTTGCCCCAAGTTTTGGGAGAAAAGCATTCTACACATCAAAATAGATAATGACCAAAAGGACTTAAGCTGGATAAAGGATTTAAAGACAGAAATACTTCCCTCACAAACAAAGGGTAGGAGCCTAATGAGAAGGGACTTCAAATTAATATCAGAACCATGCTATAGGTTATTTATAACATTATTCTCAGGGGAATCATGAAGAAAACATTTTCATAGGGCTTTACAGGTTGTTCAGGCAGGCATTACTCTGCCACCAGAGCCACACAGGTTGTAAAGGAGCTTGAAAATAGCCCTAGATTTAGGTGTGTGCAGTAGTATGCTAGGGCTGGCTTGGGCAGGCTCTCCAGAGCCAACTGTGGGCAACTTTTCCTAACTCACATTCAATGATGTCACCTTCCTAGCTTGAAATCAACCATGGTGGGAGAATTTACACCACAAAAATGGCAAATTTTACAAATCATGGGCTTTTCTCCCCAGAAATCTCATTGTTAAACATTTATTAGCATACCACTTTATATAACAGTGTTTATGAGCACAACACTACATAATCAGTACTCTGTATAATATGAATATATATTCATATATTCATATAGATCGTAGTCCATAGCCTCTAAAAGTAAGTAAGAACATAATTTTATTTAACGAAGAAGAAAGTTATACTAATTATACTTTTGAGATTCCATGGATGGAGGTAACAACTTACTTTCAACTATGCTAAAAATGTGAAAACCTGAACTTTAGAATTGAATAAATACAGCATTGCTTAAGATCATTATGTAGAAAATGCTGTATAGTTTATTTTATTGTATGCATTGGTCATTCAAATAAAAGGCCTATCTCTCATTACAAGTCCAAAATTTTAAAAAAATCAACATCAATACAGTTTTGAGAGTTTATCAAAAATGTTTGAACTTAATAAGTCCAATTCATAATAAAAGTCAAGACTTTGGGAACTTATATGGACAAATTGAAAACAGCCTCCCTTTTACCTACTATCACATGGCACTTGCTGCTTTTTATTGGTGTATTATTTAGTTACCTGTTTTTCCCAAATAGACACTAGCACGCTTGAGGGTAGAATTCCTCTGTGTCTTATATTATTTATATTTTGTGTTGAGATAGTTGCCCAGCTCATTATAAGTGATCACGAAATGTCAAGTGAAAAAAAAAATCAATGTATTTATCTGTTTATCATGTATGTTTATCTATCTATCTATCTATCTATCTATCTATCTATCTATCTATCTATTGTGACTCCTTACCAAGGCATATTCATGTTTGGGTATACCACTTCACACACAGATGGTAGCATGAAGATTCTACTTTTACAGATCTTTCACTATGTCTTATCAATCAGATACATTGTTCAGTAACCTCTTTTCTCTGGACAGTCTCACCACAGAGTCCAGCACATAGTGCTGATCATGTAGCCCATTTTGTAGGTAAGATATTTCTGACAAGTTAGTTGAGTATAAACGTAATTAAAACCTGATTGTATTGACCACATCACTGGCCTGCTGTGATGGCATTTGGACAGTCTGACATGAGTAGATTTGCCCTTCCTTGCTCTTAACGACTAGATGCAGGTGAAAATGTCCAGTGAGCCTTTATATCCCAGTTGCCTAACAAGCTATGAGAAAGAAAGTCTCAGGGTAGCTCTTCTCAGGCACTCTGGTTCAATAGAAAAGAAACTGACCATTACTACCAGGTACCAGCCAAGCACATCACTATGAATAGATCCATTTGGACAAGGTGGCTTCTTTTTCTTTTTCTAGAAGCTGAAAATATCCCCTGATAGCTTAACAGAGAAGAATAAATTGCCCTCATGTATTTACACAGAGGAGAAGATTTTCCTCATTGTACTTGCAATTTTGTCTTGTGTGATGACCTCCATTTTCATAATCCTTCATGGAGTATCATGATTTAAAAAGCTTTCTCTCCCTGCTGTTTCTGTTAAAAGGTTTTCTGGTGCAATTCCTGGAAAGTCAAATTCTGCATTTAAATGTTGTATTTTCACAGATATAATATAAAAGAGGCCATACTTTTACGTGTTTTTCTTCCTGGGAGAGTAGCAAGCAATTCCACCCTTCTGCATATATTGTTAACCAAGCTATAAGAGTGTACAGCAGCTCTAATAGCAAAGCAATTGTGATTACATCTTGCTCGTAATTACATTTATTTGCTCACATATGTCCAAAAAGGCAAGCATTAGTCAGACTCTATGGGTATGCGTTTGTGCAAGGAAAATCATCCAGTGGGTTGACAGTGAAGAAAATAGCTTTTAGCTTCTTAGGTCTCTCCCATCACAGACACTCCCAAAGACTATCAGAGCTTACTTAGTTTTTGCTTCCATGCTTCTAAAATCGATTGCATTTTCAAAGCAGGGTGATTTATTATGGGTGATGGATTTGCATCAAAATAAACAAAATATTAGCAGGTGCATATAACAAGATACATGTCTGTGTTCCCAGAGAAGAGAGTTAAGAAATACCATGGTTCAAAGCAACTTTAGAAAGGCAGCTGTCCCATCCAAAGAAAGGATGTTTGCTGCTTCTCAGGGAATGTAGAGGAAAATAAGAGAGTTCGGCATGTGAAAGAATTTTAGATCTGCATTTTTGAACTGTCCCTAAGGAAATGGGACAGTGATGGAAATAGCATTGGCTTTTTGTGAGGTGGATGGGTTTGGGTCCTGGCTGTAGTATTTATAACTCAAAAGAGTTTGGAGAAATTACTTTACTCCTCTGTGCCTTCATTTTCATTCTTTCTTTTTTTTCTTCTTCTTTTTTTTTTTTTTTGAGACGGAGGTTTGCTTTTGTCGCCCAGGCTGGGGTGCAATGGCATCATCTTGGCTCACTGCAACCTCCGCCTCCTGGATTCAAGCAATTCTCCTGCCTCAGCCTCCCAAGTAGCTGGAATTATAGGCATGTGCCACGGTGCCCACCTAATTTTGTATTTTTAGTAGAGATGGAGTCACCATGTTGGCCAGGCTGGTCTGGAATTCCTGACCTCAGGTGATCCACCTGCCTTGGTCTCCCAAAGTGCTAGAATTACAGATGTGAACAACTGTGCCCAGCCTGTGCCTTCAGTCTCTTATTACTAGAATGGAGGTAGCAATGCCAAGCTTATTGGGCTGTTTTAAAATGTACTACTCATGAGATTGTACAAACTCCTTGCAAGCAGCCACTGAAACTGAGCTGCTGTGGTATCCTTAGAACCTGGCATAGTTCCTAGAATATCTTACTCAGTGAGTATTTCTTTTTAAGTATTTGAACGTAAATTGCTTGATATGGACACGTCTCAGACCATTGCATTGTATTATTTTCCTATTGGTGCTGTAATAAATGACCACAAACTTCGTTATGTAAAAAACA